CCCCTCCCCCTCCCCTTTACTCTCATCCCCAGGGACCAGTCTCTGCCCCCTTTTCTGACCTTTCTCTCCCCTCCCCTCAATAAACTGTTAAACTCATTTCAGAAAACCCCAGAGACCACCAAGGAGCCGGTTTCCGATGCAAGCACATAAGGGTCCTTTTATTCAGGTTCAACCTGGGCCTCCACACAGCAGATGGAGGGAAATGTGGCAGTGATGCAGGCCCAGGAGTAGAGAGTTTTTACACACGCCGGGAATTACATGCTTTGGCAACTTGGGATTGGGTAGAAGGGATATGGGGCAAGGTGATTTTTTTAAACTATTGGTCTAGACTTTGGGCATGAAGCCACATTTGAAACCATTGGGTTGGACTTTTTGGTGGGGACACAACTTGATGTCCATGACCAGTGTTATTACCGTAGGCCATGCTGATGTCTGTGGGCCAGGTTCATTTCTATGGCCCATGTTACCACAGAGGGCCGTATAGATGCACGTGGTCTATGTCATATTCTGAAACCATGATGATATTCATGGGTCGTGCTGCCACCAAGGGCCATGTTGATGTGAGTGGCCTATGTGAGCACCTGAGGCCATGTATGTCCACGGTCCATGCTGCCACTGAGGGCCATGTCTGGGTCCATGGTCCTGCAGCTGGGGACTGGATTCATGCCTGCGACTCATATTACCACCAGATACCATCCAGATGTCCATGGTCTGCTGCTGAGGGCCATGCAGATGTCCATGGTCAATGCTACTACAAGGGGCCATGTTGGGGGCCTGTGGTGGTTTGAAAGAAAATGGTCCACAAATGGTGTGGCACTATTAGGAGGTGTGGCCTTATTGGAGAAGGTGTGTCACTGTGGGGCTGGCTTCGAGGTCTCATTTCTCGAGCTTCCCTCAGTGTGTCTGTCAGTCGACTTCTGTTGCCTGCAAGGTATAGCACTCTCAGCTCCAGCACCACATCTACCTGCGTGCTGCCATGCTCCCTGCCATGATGATAACGACTGAACTCTGAAACTGTAAGCAAGCCACCTCAATTAAATGTTTTCTTTATAAGAAATGCCGTAGTCATGGTGTTTCCTCACAATAGAAAACCCTAACTAAGACCAGGTCCATGGTGTCTGTGGCACATGTAACCACCAAAGGCCACATGGATGTCTGGTCTGTGCTACCACCTGAAGCCATATTGATGGCCATGGGAACACAGAAGATTGTTTTGTTGTTTTTGTTTTTGTTTTGGATTTTTGAGGCAGAGTTTCTCTGTGTAGCGCTGGCTGTCCTGGAACTCACTCTGTAGACAAGTTGTACTCAAGCTCACAGAGATCTGCCTGCCTCTGCCTCCCTAGTGCTGGATCAAAGGCGTGAGCCACCATTCCCAGTTTAAGAGTCTTAACTCTAAAACTGAACTTGGGAATCCAAGTTCTGAAAATCCCTGCTATGTTCAGGAAGACTTTCTGTTATCACTGTGTATCCAGAGTTAAAATGAGATCATCACAGTGACCAGAGAAGCTTCTTGTGTCTGGAGTTAGTCTGAGCCCCCAAAGCCCCACATTTTGTAGGTAGATTTGGGTCTCTGAAGAAAAAAAATGTCTTCATGAGACTGGCTTTTGGAGAATCAGACCTAAAGTGGATTTTTTGTCTTGTATATTAATGTTACCTATCTCCCGAATGAGGCAGTTTCCAGAGAGAAACTTCAGAAGTGGCCTACCCCCAAAGACCAGAGGAAAGATAGTCCAGATGAGTAACTTAGGTGGAGGTTCCTGTCATTCAAAGACAAATAAGGACTAATAATCTGGGTGGACTAGAATACAATGGGTGTTTCAGCCCATACCTTTAATCCCAGCATTTGGGAAACAGGAGCAGGTAGATTTCTCTGAGTTCAAGACCAGCCTGGTCTACATAGTGAGTTACAGGACAGCCAGAACAACTTAGTGAGACCTTGTCTCAAAAAACTCAAAACAAGGAAAAAAAAGAATATGAAATAAATTGTCCTTAGTGTCTAACACTGTGAACCAGGAGGTACTGGAGGAATCTGTCCCAAGAGAATGTAAGGACTGGCAAATTTAATAGTTCTTTTTCTAATTCTCACTATTGTGACTAAATATCTGATAAGAAGAGCCTCAGGGAGGAATGGTCTCTGTTGCTTTCAGCTCAAGGAAACACAGCCCACTCTGACTGCAGAAGGGTGACAGACAGTCACATTGCCTCCAAAGTCAGCAGGTAGATAAGTGATGGTGCCCAGCTGGCATTCTCCTTTTTATTCAAAGACCCAGACCATGAATGGTGCCACCCACACTTAGGGTGGGGCTTCCCCCTCAGCCAGAAATTCCCCTCACTGGCATGCACAGGGCTTTGTCTCCTGGGTGATTCCACATCCTCTCAACTTAACCATACAATTCATAGGGTGAATTGAGACCACAGCCTCATTCATGACCTTCAGATACCAGACCATTCTGTAGGAGGCATCTGCCAAATAGGGATTCTGCATAGAGAGTCTGCCAATGATACAGTTGTAAGCTTTTTTTGTGTTTCAGAACCTTTGAAGAATGTTGCGGTCTTCAAGGACAACTTTAATATGAGTGACCATTAGTGAATTTCTAGCAATGGATGTATTCCAGGTTCTGGCAGAGGGTGGGGCTTGTCAGGTGATGTAAGAGTCTATAGTAGAGAGACAGTAAGGACATCTGCGGTCCAAGACAGCCCAGGCCACTATAGAACAGAGCACAGGAATGCTATAAAAAAGCTTCTGGAGTCAGCTGGGCCTGGTGGTGGTGCACAACTTTAATCCCAGCACTCAGGAGGCAAAGGCAGGCTGATCTCTGAGTTCAAGGCCAGCCTGGTCTACAGAGAAAGTTCCAGGACAGTCAGG